TTTTTTCAGCTTCTGCTTGAATGCCTCCTATGATGAGGAGCTCACTACCTCTAAAGGAAAACAGTTTCATCTTTGAACATGTAGAAAGTGTTATCACTAGGCTATTCCTCAGGCATCTCAAACTTAACGTATTCCAAATTTAATTCACAAGGTAGTCTCATAATTTTGTGTATGTTTCATTGGAGAGCTGGGCTCCCCAGAGGCGAGTAAGTGCTAATAAAGGTGATAGATGAGTGGTAGCTAACAACAGCAACATCTTTGGTACAATTGGGTGATGGTAGCAAGGTGCAAATCTGGGGACAGCCCTCATTTGGCCATGGAAGTTGGTTAATGAACTCTATAGTGCATAGGTTTGGGTGAAGTCTGTAACATGCTGCAGGAGCAGCAGACATGAGCTGTTGATGGACAGGTGAGAGGGACCTTTGAAAGTCTCCTGACTCTCTATAGATGAGGACACACCCAGGAGGAGAGGCATTTTGTCCAAAGCCCGAGTTGGTGTTGGTCCTGAGACCAGAACCCAGGTCTCTGGATTCTCAGTCAGAAGCCAACAAGTTTCACATTCAGGTTCTCTAGTTAAGTCATCTCTTTGCCTGCTCATTAGCTCTGTGGAATGGGCACGTTTTCTCATTTGCTATGCCATGCTATTTATTTCTCTGCATTTGCCACCTCTCTTACGATCCAACCTCCTAGGTAATATGTTTTCCTATATTAACGTTCCATTTACAGGTAGTCCCAGACTTATGACAAGGTTACCTTCTGACGGCTCTGTCCTAAGACGGTTCTGATGTAAGTCAAATACTTCTCTTTTTTTTTTAGCTTAAGTTTTCATTGTTATCACCTTTTATATCTTCATAAATCTGACCTTTATCTGTCTTTGGAGGTTGGAAACATTACATACAAACTTACAGATATATTTTAATACATATATACGTACATAAAAAAATATACAACTCACAAAAATTTAGTGATGAAGAAGAATTGGACAATGTTGGAATTTTGTCAGCTGTGTTAATAGCTACACTTGTGGAAGGTCCTAGGTCATTTGGATTGTCCTTGGGATTGGGGATGGCATTTCTAGTCAGAAAATTAGTGAGAGATGCCTCTAGGGTCCTTTTCTTTTTTTCTTCATATAATTCATGGTGACATCTTACTGCTTCCCAAATATGCCTTTTTGACTTTAGGAAAGGGATAAGTGTTTGGGTACATGTTTTCAAGCAGCTCAAGTCCCTGATTTTATTTAGAAGGCAGTGTGTTTAACAGTAAATCATAACGTTGAACATCTGGGAGTGAACATCGGAGAGTAACATCAGCAAATTATGTGCTGCACCGTTGTGTGTGGTATGTAGTACATAGTACTAACAATAAGATGTAAAAAAAAAAAAACAAAAAAAAAAACCCAAAAATTCCTACAACAGATAGTCTTCAGTGGTTCTTCATAACTTGAATATGTTATAAGTAGGAGACTACCTGTATATGCCCACAGTTTTCCATGTCCTTGCTAATATGCCCTCTAATAAGTTTTTAGTAGTTTCCTTTAACAAAAAATGAGGAGCATTTTTATGGGACTATGTAATAATTAGGTCTCTGGGTGATGCAAATGGTTAAGTGCTCATCTCCTAGCTGAAAAGTTGATGGTTCGAGTCCACCCAGAGGCACCTTGGCAGCCAGACCTGGAGGTCTGCTTCCGAAAGACCACAGCCTTGCAAACCCTATGAAGCAGTTCTACTCTGCACACATGGGGTCACCATAGGCAGAATTGACTCGGTGGCAGCTCACAACAACATATCAGGAATAATAAAATTCTACATGATTCCAGGATGAAAGTGATCATCTGTGTTGAAAGTAGTATTATGAGTTAATATATATTAGACTATAAAACATGAGAAGTAGAAGAGTCAGGCTAAGTTAAGTGTTGGTGTCTTCATTGTTCAAACTTATGGTGTATTGCAGGCATACCTATTGAAGGCGATTTTAAGGTAAGCCATAACAGGAAGTCAGCAATTTCCTTTTGTTCATTAAAAAATAAATGGTTGTAGTGGTTGGCTGATGTACATGAAAGAACATTATAACTTGTAGTACCCTCGAATTGACGTCAGGTTCCTAAATTTAAAATGCTGACTGAACATGAATGTATGTGTGTGTGTGTGTGTGTGTGTGTGTATGAGGGGGTGGAAAGAAAAAAAAGTTACTTCCGCCTGCTTTGTTAATCACATAGAATAAATAATAACCCTCAGCTCTCTAGTGAATTCAAGGCTATAATTCACCCTCAAAGCTCCTCTGTTTTTTAGAAACCACTTGAACTGGGTTCTTAGTCTCATCTTGTATCAGCAAGACTGTTTGAGTGATGCCCTACTTCATGCCATACTAGCCCTCTGCTGCTTCCTTTTTAAGACCTAATTTATGTATCAGAATGGCCTCAATTCTTGTCTACCGTTTTTTAATATATCTTGAACACACTTTAAGCACAGATTACTCTCTAGTTTTTATTTATAAAATTGATTGATTCTATTAATAGCTTGAAGGGTCTGTGGAAGCCACAGATGGTTTAAGTGCTTGATGACTGACCAATAGTTGGTGTTTTGAACCCATCTGGAGGGGCCTCAGAGGAAAGGCCTGGCTGTCCACTTGCCCTGTGGAGTGCAGTTCTGCTCTGATCCACCCGGGGTCGCCATGAGTCAAAAGTGACTCTTTGGCAACTGGTTTGGCTATTTTGGTTTTGGTCATTAATAGTTTGCCCTTGAAATTTTGTCCATATTTCATTCATCAGCTGTTTTTTGAGTACTTACTATGGAGTCCCTGGATGGTGCACACAGTTAACATATTTGCTGTGAACCAAACAAAAGGTTAGAGGTTTGGGTCCACCTAGAGGCATCTGAGAAGAAAGGATTGGTGATTTGCTGAAAACTCAGCCATTGAAAACCCTGTGGAGCACAGTTCTACTCTGACACACATGGGGTTGCCACGCATCAGAGCTGATTCTTTATGTTGTGCTAGCTGCTGTTTGAGGTGCTGGGGACACAGGAGTGGGGGAGAACAAGACTTTGCCCTCGTTGCCCACACATTCTAGATATTTGTAAGAGGAGACAGTAGTCGCTAAGAATGGAACTAATGTGGTTTTATTTTGTATTTCCCCTTTATCTCCTATTTCCCTCTGGAAAGAGGCCTGCTGTGGGTGGCTAGGCCACTGTAGTCTAACTCCACCCCTGCCACAGAATCACTTAGCAAGAAATGGGGTAAGCAAAGCAATCAGGGTGTCTTGTTCTGTATTTTATGAAGTTGACAGAAGAAGTGTTTTTGTGTGTACAGGTGTGTGCCTCCAAGGGAACATCCTAATATATAACAACATAAAAGATAACAAGTACGAGTGGTATTCCAGGGACCGTTGATCTTTGCCGGCTAATTTATTCGGAAAACAGCTAATTTACTTGTTTTGGCTAGCGGCCAAGGTGCAGTCATACCCACACCAGGAGGTAGTTCACCCATGAGGATGCCAAGAAGTCCTGGAGCGTGGGTGATGGAATATTGGAGAACCAGAATTTCCATACCTTATCTGTGGAGGGTCTGATCCAACAGCCAAAATTGACTTCTCTTGGAAGTCCTTGACTAGAGAGAGGTAGGGGACAAACCCCTCACCTCAGTGGTCCATGTGTTCTCAGTTTCCATGTCTTCACTAGCAGGCGGACTGTCTCTTCTCTGTCCCTTCTGATGACCTGTGCTACAGTAGGGATGATGGGGAAAATAATGCTGAATAAGAGTGGCTGTTTGTTGTACCAGATACACAGCTGTGGTTTTTCTTCACATACACCCCATTGCATTTCATTCTATTTAGATCAACAATCAACATCCATGGAAGCAGCAGTCAGTAAATCAGGTGACATATTGTGTTGGGTAAATCTACTGCAAAAGACCTCTTTAAAGTATTAAAGAGCAAAAGATGTCACTTTGAAGACTAAGGTGTGCCTGACCCAAGCCTTTCAACTGCCTCATATGCATGTGAAAGCTGGACACTGAAAAAGGAAGCACGAAGAAGAGTTGACACATTTGAATTGTGGTGCTGCTGAAGAATAATGAATACTCCATGACCTTCCAGAAAAAGACTTCAGCTCACTTCCTTTGGACACGTCATCAGGAAAGACCAATTGCTAGGAAAGAACATCATAGTTGGTGAAGGGGAGGGTTGGTGAAGGCGAGGGAACCATCCATGAGATGGATTGACACTGGTCAAAATTATGGACTCAAAACATAGCAACAATCATGCATATGGCATAGGAGCAGGCAACATTTTCTTCTGTTGTTCATAAGGTTGCCATGAATCAGAGCTGGATTGATGGCAGGTAACAACATCAACACTGTTGCATTTAAATTGCAGAACAAGAAAAGTTAAGTAACTTAGTCAGTAATTGTATATATGGATACGTGAACCTGTATTTGTCTTTGACTCTCATTACCTTTGCTTTTATCCACGATTGAGACTTCTTTTTCATTCTCCATTTACAAAATTGCATTTTGTTTTCCTTTTTAGCTGTCTCTAATTCTTTGTGAAGTGTCAAATGCCCATTCACTTATGAAAATAGGTCTTGGTTGGGTACTCTTTTAGAGATTTTATGTTGTAATGGCATCAGGGGCTAATGACATGTAAGATGCTGAAACTAGTCTGCGAGAGCATCTGTTGACTTCAGTAATAGATTTCAGACTTGTTTAGAATTCTGCTTATGTGTTAAATTTGAGTTTCTCCAGTGAGTCTTTTTGTATCTTAGATGATTTATATCTTTCTAGGGACTCATTTAGACTTTTTTTTTTTTTTTTTTTAAACAAGTGATTTTTGTGAAGACCAGGGCAGATGGATATCCATCACATGCTCTCAAACATCTGGACCAGAGAGGGCAGTTCTGTTTGATGTTTGTTACCAAAACGGCACCATCAAGTACTAACAACTGTGTTATTCTGATCTTAACATCATGATTAAACTATTCCTTCCTTTTTTCTTCTTTCTAGGTTAGCATTCTGCTGACGGGCACAGACAGGAGAAGTTGATGTCCACGCCCACAGACCCTGGCGCAATGCCCCACCCGGGGCCTTCACCAGGGCCTGGACCCTCCCCAGGACCGATTCTGGGACCTAGCCCAGGGCCAGGACCATCCCCAGGTTCCGTTCACAGTATGATGGGACCGAGTCCCGGACCTCCGAGTGTTTCACACCCAATGCCGACAATGGGGTCTGCTGACTTCCCACAGGAAGGCATGCATCAAATGCACAAGGTAAGAGTTTCTTCTCCCATTTGGTCTCTTGTGAATCACTGTTGTTGACGGCTGCTGTCAAGTCAGCTCTGACTCATAGCGACCCCATGTGTGCAGAGTAGAGCTGTGCTCCATAGAGCTGTCAAGGCTATGGCCATTCACAAGGTTGCCAGGGCTTGCTTCTTATTCGCCTTGGGGAGGGCTTGCACCACTAACCTTTCAATCACATGTTAAACCCATACATGGCTAATATTCCTGATCAAAGGTGCCCCCCCCCCTTTATTTTTAAATACTGTTAACAAGAAGATCAAGCTAGATCTTTGTCTTTTCTTGTCCATTATTAAGATCACACATTCTAGGGCACTTTCACTGCTACACATGTACCATTGGAAAGATCAGAATTTTTTTTTTTTAACTGCTGGATAGAATGTGCACCTCTGACAGGTGGATTCTGCAATCTGTGGGTTGGTGATACCTTTCCTTGGTGAATAAGGAAATTAGTGAATAAGTCTTTTTTTTTTTTCCCCTCTCTCTGTTAATTCCTATCATCCATTAATGAACATATGAAAATTATTCTTCCCTAGAAATGTCAACTTTTATGAAACATTAGATATCAAAGAGTATAAGGAAAAATAATCTTTCTCTAAAGGATTTTTTTAAAGGCTTTACTGAAATAAAGTCTTCTCTGTTGTTGTTGTTATTTGCTCTGGAGTCGGACCCGATTCATAGCGACCCCTCCTTGAGTTTCCAAAGCAGTATCACTACGGAAGTAGATTGTCCAACCTTCTTTCTGAGAAAATCATCTCTAGGGATTCCTTCAAATGTACTTGGTGGTTCTCTGGGAGGTAGCTGTATTCTGGTTTTGGGAGGGGGTTCTGGGTGGGCAGAGCTGTTTGTTTCTGTACTGAGGTTATAATAATCCTCTACTTAGGAGCTCAGATTGTTGCTGTAGGGGTGGGCATAGTGGTGTAATTTTGGCATGATGCCTTTGAGGGAGATAGGAAGAAGAGAAGGCAGCCTTTTGAAAAAGTGAACAAGATCCTCTGAGAGGCAGTCTGTTCCAATAAAGATTTACTCCTTGAAAGCCCTGTGGGGCAGTTCTGCTCTGTTCTGCAGGGTTGCTGTGAGTTGAAATTGACTCAATAGCAGTGGTTTGGTTTGTTATTTTGGGTGGTACAAATAGTTAAAGTGCTTGGCTGCTTACTAAAAGGTTGGAGGTTCAAATCTATCCAGAGGTGCTGCAGAAGAAAGGTCTGGTGATCTACAGAAAAATCAGCCACTGAAAACCCCACAGCACACGGTTCTGCTCTGACACACATAGGGGTGCCATGAGTCAGAATTGACTGGATGGCAACTGGTTTTGGGTGACATCGCAGGTCGATAGGGTGGTGGACCACTTCTAGGCTAATTTATAAGCATTGGAAGATATTGGCTTAAAACAAAAAGTTACAGAAAAGAGCAAGTCCTTCTGTATGTTATAGTTCTTTGTTGTTGTTGTTAGGTGCTGTCGAATCATTTCCGACTCACAGTGACCCCATGCACAGCAGAACGAAACGCTGCCCGGTCCTGTGCCAGTCTCACAAGCCTTGTTATACCTGAACCCATTGTTGTAGCCACTGTGTCAATCCATCTTGTTGAGGGCCTTCCCCTTTTTCATGGACCCTCCAGTTTACCAAGCATGATATCCTTCTCCAGGGAATGGTGCCTTCTGACAACATGACCAAAGTAGGTCAGATGAAGTCTGGCCATTCTTGCTTCCAAGGAGCATTCCGGCTACACTTCCATGTAGTTCTTTAGGTCAGTTTTAAGTCAAGCCTTTGTAGCTCCAAGAGGATAGTCCAGTTTTTTAAAAGGAAATGTTTTTACTTGATTCTCAGATCAGCAAAGTGTGATATGCTTATTGTGAAAGGAAAAACAATGCTAAAATAAATTAACCAAACCAGCAGTTGCTGTCAGGTCAGTCTTGGCTTAGTGCCCCCATGTGTGCTGAGTAGAATTGTACTCCATAGGATTTTCAGTGGAGGAGTTTCAGAGTTAGATTGCCAGGCCTTTCTTCTGAGGCAACTCTGGATGGATTTGAACCTCCATCCTTTGGGTTTGCAGCCAAGTGTGTTAACCATTTGCACCATCTCAGGACTAAAGCAGTAAATCCTGGCTTCTCCCCATGTGACCAATGTTAGCACCCTGTAGGCTCTTTTCACATCTTTCTTTTTCTTGTTCATTAAAAAAAAAATACATGTACATGTATGCATGTGCAAGTCTTATTTATTTATTTATTTTACCATCATAGAATTATATTCTATAATCCCTATTAATTCCTTCCTGTGTAGTGCCTAAGGCACTTGACTGCTAACCAGAAGGTTAGCTGTTCAAACCCACCAGCCACTCCTCAGAAGGAAGATTGGGCTATCTACTTCCATAGTGATACTGCCTTGGAAACCCAAGGAGGGGTCGCTATGAGTCGGAGACAACTCAACGGCATGTAACAACAACAACAATATATCATAGTTATAGTTATAATTTCCTGAAGTCTTCCCCTTTTTTCTTTCTTTAAGTCCATTTTTAACTTGTCTGGTATCTAGAGAAATAGAGCTGCTTGTTTTCCATATCATATTTTTCTGTATGTTATACTGAGCATATAGACATATTGAAGTTGTCAGCTTATCTTGTGTTTATGTTAAATTAATTTGGGAGCTATATTAGATCTGTTCTGTTGTTTATTTAGCCTGGGTGGCTCAAACAATAATTTTAGAAGAGTTTGAAAGATAAAATGAAAGATGAGATTTGAAGAAAATATTTAGCTAGCCCTCATTATTATTGAGGAATCCTGGTGGCACAATGGTTAAGTGCTTGGATGCTAACTGAAAAGTTGGCGGTTTGAACCCACCCAGCGACTCCTTGGGAGAAAGACTTGGCCATCTGCTCCCATAAAGATGACAGCCTAGGAAACCCTATGGGGCAGTTCTGCTCTGTCACGTGGGGTTGCTGTGAGTCAGAATCAACTCGACAGTACCCAGCAACATTATTATTTAAACATTTAAATGAAGTGTTAGATCAGTGGTAACGTTTTACACTGGATTGTTTTTGTTATTATCTCATCTGTTTCCTTCTACTTTGTGACCTAGCGTCTTTGTCACTTTTCTTGTATTCTTAACCCCCATCAGTGCTCTCTTTTTTGGTTTGGTTTTGTTCTCATTCTGTACATATTGTGGTTTGGCCCTTCTGTGTTTCCTTACGCCCAGCCCCTCGGCTCTTTGCCGTGGGAGGAGATGGGTAGGCACCTAGAGCTCACACCTGCTGACCAGATGCCTCTGTTTTCTCAGATGCTTTTGTAGGCAGCTTTATCCCTCTCTTTCTCCTTCTTCTCCCTCCAAGACTCAGCTTTTTGCTTTCTGACAAGCCTGGAAATAAACAAGCACCCTAAATGCCTCTGTCGCACTGCTTTGATTTCCTTCTGTTATTACTACTTAGCAGACTTGGTGACACTCTTTATGCCGACTTCTTCCTGCTTTTCTTCTGAACATTCTCTTTATGGTAAATTTTTCCTCTTTTCAAGTGTGTGCTTTTGACGCTGCAGAAATTAACTTTCTTTTCTCTAAAACTGCACACACTCATACTTTCTTGCTTGAAGTCATTTGGTTTCTATAAACTTCTGGAAATATTCCGTTCAGGCTGTTTTGAAAATTGCTACTCCAGTTTGGGGAGGAATCGACTTCCTTTTTCAGACACATGCTTGTTGCCCAATTCTGGATTGGATTAATGTCAATTCAATCACTGTTTATCGTGTTCCTGTTATGTGCTGGGCCTCGAGTCCTGTTTCCAGCTCTTTTGTTCCTGATTTCTTTCCAAACTGTGCTGTTAACCTTTTTTGGTCTTCCTCCTGCTGTAATATAGCTTTATCCCTCCTGCCCTCCTTCTCTCAGGGTTCACCCCCATTCACTGACCAATCCTATCTGTTCCTTCTTTCCAACTGCCATGGAATCTTCTGGATCCAGCTTTTAAACTTTCCATAGTTCCTTCCTCTCTGATGGAAAAAAGCTATCAAAAAATAGATCACTGGAGACGTTTCAGGTAGTCTTCCTTCAGAGTTCAGACTCACTTCAACATACAACAACTTTCAAGACTTACTTAAAAGGGTATGGGAGAATAGCTTATCTTTCTCTACCTTCAATTTTATTCGTAGATGTTGATATTACCGAAAAACAAAACAAACAACAAAAAATAATCCAACTGTTTAAAGCCTTCACCTTGGACTGAATCACCTTGACGTCAGCTGTTTTGGATTTTTGTTTTGGGAACCTCTGACTTACAGATATTTTGCTTATTCTATAGCTGTGGGTATTTTGTTGTTGATTTGCCCTCATTTATGAGGTGTAAAAATACATGATTGGTTTATAGGTAATAAGTGAATGTGCTGTACCTTTGAAAACGTTAGGGAAGTGTCTTAAAACTGTGTAATAGCAGAAATAGTGTACCTTAATCAAGTGTCTAACTGGTGTCTTCAACCATTTCAGCCCATTGATGGTATGCACGACAAGGGCATTGTAGAAGATATCCACTGTGGCTCCCTGAAGGGCACCGGGATGCGACCCCCGCACCCAGGAATGGGCCCTCCCCAGAGTCCGATGGATCAGCACAGCCAAGGTGGGTGTCTGCCACACACCTGGTTATGGTCCCACACTACAGTCACAGTCTCTATCTTTCTTATGGGCTATTTTCATGAAGACTTCCAAACAAAGACCGTAAGGAAGATTGGATCCAGCAGGGTTTTTCTTCTCTATAGACATCTCCCTCCATCCTTATCAGTACAACTTTACAGATATATATGGGCAAATGATTTTCAAAACCCCAGTAATTTTACTAGCCCCCATGTGTCCAAGCACTCTGATAATCGCTTTATGTACATTTGTCATCATCTTTATCATCCCCTGCTAAGGTCAATGACATTTTTTGTTGTTGGTTGCCAGTGAGTCAGCTGCCACTCACGGTGGCCTCCTGTACAACAGAACAAAACGTTGCCCAGTCCTCTGCCATCTTCACAATCACTGGCGTGTCTGAGTCTGTTGTTGTGGCCACTGTGTGTTTTTGGTGCCTTCTAGCCCAGGGGCTCATCTTCACCACTGTTATCAGACAGTGATCTGTTGTGATCCCTAGGGTTTTCATTGCCCAGTTTTCAGGAGCTGATCACCAGGCCTTTCTTCCTAGCCTGTCTGGGTCTGAAACCTACCCACCATGGGTGATCCTTGCTCGTGTTTGAAATACCAGGGTACAGCTTCCAGCATCACAGCCACATTCAAGCCACCACCACAGAGCAAGCTGACAGGCGGGTAGTGGAAATGACATTACCCCCGTGTTATAGGTGGGGAGGCCAGAGCCCCTAGAATGTACTTCATTTTCTTAATTTGACACATCCTGTGACAGGGCCAGGTATAGAGTCCAGGTCTGCCTCCCACTGCCAGCAGAGATGTGAAGGTAAGATGAGCCACCTGTGTCCCTCAAATTGTATTGTATGTAAGGTGGCTTTCTCCGGTACTGGAATCACCTGTCAGTGCAGGTGGGTGGCCACATCAGTATGATACCTCTCTGCTCCTTTATGCCTTCCATGAGTCTGTTCTCTGCCCTTCACCCACTATTGAAGGCATTTCAGGATGCCACAAGCCTTTTGAATGCACCATGACCTATTTTCAGAATCATTGTGTGGCCATTTCAACATGCAAGGGGTGTAGTTAATCTAGTACTAATGGACATGACTAAGTAGATTCTGTAATTCAAAGCTTATAGTTTATGTGTTGCTGTATATAAGACCAGTTGTTATCGAATCAACTCTGACCTAAGATGACCCCATATGTGTGTTAGTGTAGAACTGTGCTCAGTTGGGTTTTCAGTGGGTGATTTTTTTGAAAGGACATTGCTAGCCTCTCTTCAGAGGTGCTGAATATGAACTGCCAACATTTCACTTAGCAGCCTAGCACATTTTCTGTATATACTCTTATGTAATTTAACAGATTTTTTTTTTCTCCATCCATACATCTGGGGTAAGATTCAACTAGGAGGATTTAGAGATCTGTATCCAGAATTATTTTCCTTTTGAAATAGAAACAGGTGAATTGTAGAGGCATTGGAATGCCTCTCTACTAATATCTGAGCAGTTTTTAAACAGCTCACACTTTGCGCTGATTGTTGGTACCTAAATATTGCCCATGGCTCATAGAATCTTGACCCTGTGCAAAAGCAGCCTGAAGCATTGGGACGTTTTGCAGCACAAGAAGAGGAAAAATTGACCCCTTCAGGGATAAGAGTATCTAGTTTCATCATTTAAATTCTGCAGGGTCAGGTGTGTTCACAGAGCTAGTGTAGGTTGCGTCAATCCATGATAAGCGTAGGTGAGTTCTAGTCAGTGGTTTTCAAAGCAAAGTGCTTGCTCTGTCTGCTCCCTCTCCTAGCATGTTATGAATGGAGCTCTAGGAAAACTATAGAACAAGACACTGGCTGTCTGCATCATCATGGAGAGCATCCTTCAGAGCCTTTGAAATTTCCACCATTACGTGGCTCTCTCCTTTAACTTACAAACGATGTCTTACTTTTCTTAGGATTGCCAATGCCTGGCACAGTGTCTTGCACCTGACTGGATGGGCACTCTGTATATTTTGTCCAATTAGAGAAATGAACCTTTTTTTCACTTTTATTGTGGTGAAAACATATACAGCAAGACATTCACCACCATAACTGCTTCCCCATTTACAGCTCAGGGACATTGATGACATTTTTCATTTTGTGCCACCATTATTGCTATCCTTTTCCAAAATATTCCACCACCATCAGCATAAACTCAATGCCCCACAAACAAAAGCTTCCCCTTTCTCCCTCCCTCTTACCCCTGGTAAATATATGTGTGTATATATATATATGTACACACACACACACACACACACGTATGTTTGTTTTGTTTTTAACCTATCTAGGAATTAGCCTCCCTTCTGTTCCCATCCCTGGTAACCAACAAAGAAAATTGTCTTCTGTGTATAAACCTTCCCTTGACTTTTTACAATAGTGGACTAATATTATATTTGCCCTTCTGTGATTGACTTACTTCATTCAGCATAATGTCTTCCAAGTTCATCCATGTAGAATCTGCAGTGTTTTGCAGATTCTACATCATTATTCTTTAGGGTTGCATAGTATTTCATTGTTTGTATATACCACAGTTTGTTTATCCATTCCTTAGTTGATGGGAACTTAGGTTGTTTCCATCTCTTTGCTGTTATGAGCAGTGCTGCGATGAATATGGGTGTGCATATATCTGTTCGTGTCCTGCCTCTGACTTCTTTAAGATATATACCTAGTAATGAGATTGCTGGATGGAGGGGTATTTCCCTTTCCAACTTTTTAAGGAATTTCCCTACTACTTTCTACAGTGTTTGTATCATTTTACAGTCCCACCAGCAGTGTAGGAGAGTCTCGATCTCTCCACATCCTCATCAGCGTTTGTTATTTTCTGTCTTGTTGAACTTTGCTATTAATGCTGGGATGAGCTGGTGTCTCATGGTTGTTTTGATTTGCATCTCTCTAATGGCTGATGAAGGAGCTCTGGTGGCCAAGTGCCTAAGGCATTAGGCTGCTAACTAGAAGGCTTGTGGTTTAAACCCACAAGCCACTCCTTGGAAGGAAGGTTGGGCAATCTACTTCCGTAGTGATACCACCTCGGAAACCGAAGGAGGGGTCGCTATGAGTCGGATCGACTTGACGGCAGTGTGTTTGGTTTTGGATTAATGGCTAATGATAGCCAACATTTTTTCATGTGTTTGTTGGCTGCCTGACTATCTTCTTGGTGAAGTGTCTGTTCATATTTTCTGCCTATTTTTTATTTACATTGTATGTCTTTTTGGTGTTGAGGTGTTGGAGTTTTCTGTAAATTTTAGAGATAAGTCCTTTGTCCGATATGTCGTTGCCAAATACTTTTCTCCATTCTGTAGGTTCTCTTTTTAGTCTCTTGGAGAAGTCTTTTGATGCACATAAGAGTTTAATTTTTCGAAGGTCCCAATCATTTACTTTATCTTCTGCTGTTTGTGCATCTTGGGTTATGCTTGATAATCTATTTATGCCATAAATTAGGGCCCCTAAGTTTGCTCCTGTTTTTCATTTGATGAACTTTATAGTTTTAGATTTCACATTTAAGTCTTTAATCCATCTGGAGTTAGTTTTTGTGTATGGTGTAAGGTATGGATCTTGTTTCATTTTTCCACAAATGGATATCCACTTTTGCCAGCACCATTTGTGAAAAAGATTCTCTCTACCTCATTTAATGGTTTTTGGCCCTTTGTCAAAGATCAGGTGACTATAGGTTAATGCATCAATTTGTAGGTTCTCAATTCTACTCCAGTGGTCTATGTGTGTCATACCAATACCAGACTGTTTAGACAACTGTGGCTGTGTAGTAAGTTTTGAGACTGGGAGTGTGAAACCTCCTGCTTTGTTCTTCTTCAGTAGTGCTTTGCTTATCCAAGATCTCTTTCTTTTCCACATAAAATCAGTGATTGGTTTTTCCATGTCTTTAAAGAATGTTGATGGAGTCTGGATCAGGATTGCATTGAACGTATAGATTGCTTTGGGTAGTAGTGACATTTTCACAGTGTTCAGTCTTCCTATCTATGAGCATGGTAAGTTCTTCATTTAAGTAAGATCTCTTACAGTTTCTTAAAGGAGTGTTTTATAGTTTTCTTTGTCTTTTGTGTTCCTGGTGAGATTTATTCCGAAGTATCTTATCTTTTTGGTAGCTATTGTCAGTGGTATTGATTTCCTTATTTCCAACAGATTTTTGTATGTTGATCTTGTATCCTGCCACGATGCTAAATCTCTCAATAAGTTCCAGTAGGTTTCTTGCTGAGTCTCTTGGGTTTTCTATGTATAGGATCATATCATCTGCAAATAGGGATAGTTTTACTTCTTCCTCACCAATTTGAATGCCTTTGATTTCCTCTTCTTGACTTATTGCTCTGGTTACGACTTCCAATACAGTGTTGAATAGAAGTGGAGATAGAGGGCATCCTTATCTGGTTCCTGTTTGCAAGGAGAATGGTTTCAGTCTCTCTCCATTGAGAATAATGTTGGCTAATGGTTCTGCATATATGCCCTTTATTGTGTTGAAGAATTTCCCTTCTAGTCCTGTTTTTCTGAGAGATTTGATCAGGAATGGATGTTGGATTTTATCAAATGCCCTTTCTGTGTCAATTGATACGATCATGTGATTCTTTTCCTTGATTTTACTTATGTGATAGATTACGTTGGTTGTTTTTCTAATGTTTAACCATCCTTGCATACCTGATATGAATCCCACTTGGTCATGATGTATTAATTTTTTTATATGTTGTTGGAGTGTATTGGCTAAGATTTTGTTGAAGACTTTTGCATCTGTGTTCATGAGGGATATTGGTCTGTAGTTTTCCTTTCTAGTAGTGTCTTTGCTTGGTTTTGGTATCAGGGTTATGCTTGCTTCATAAAATGAATTTGGGAGGATTCCATCCTTTTCTATGTTCTGGAATAGTGTGAGTAGAGTTGGTGTTAGCTCTTCTCTGAATGATTGGTAGAATTCTCTGGTGAAATCATCTGGGCCAGGACTGTTTTTGTTGGTAATTTTTCTATAACCT